TATATATATATATATAGTGCTCTTCTAGGTAATCAAAGTAGCTTAAACTATAAACGAGAACACTGTGTATAAAGTGATCAGGGTCCCGGTCCGCTTGATAATCTCAGACCTCGTTAATCTGACAGAGTTCTCCGTTTACGTCCAGATGTTCTGTTACACAACATCTGGAGATCAACACGTGACTTTAATATGATCCGCTTTACATAACTGCTCTGATCTGTAGAGAACTGAATCCTGCAGATCAGAGAAACACACACACAGCTCCCTCTTTAACCTGTTCGTACAACTTCACCAACCAGGTTATGTTTGGAGTTCTGGTTCTCAGATTTTCCAGAAACACTACCTGCCTGATTTGCATGAAACTTGTTGGAAGGGTAAAACTTGGAGCAATAAAGAACATCTTACATTTTGAAGCGGATACTCTGATTATATCTCCCTCTGTTAACGTTTCAAATGGTCGTTTTGTCCTTGGTGGAGGTGTGTGAGTGGCAAAGCTCTGCTGTGCATCTCAGCTTATCTCAGCCTTTGTGCTGCTGTGGATTTATTAAGGGTTTTCTTATTTTTAATCATTGTGCTTCATGTCGTTGCAGCTTCAAGCAACAGACTCCATGTTTCTGTGTGTTTGCATCATCACGTCACATGGAAATATTCTGCATGTTCGCTGCTTCGTTTTACACATTTATCCAAAACTCAGTGGATCGACTCGTGCTATCAAGAAAATTAAGCATAGTTAGAAAAGAGACGGAAAATGTCTGTAAAGTTTCCAAAAAGTAAATCAAAACATTTCTAAAAACTTCAAGCCTTTTTACTTTTGTATTGTTTGAAATCCCTTCTTTGCTTTTCCCCCAAACAGCCATCCTTTCATTATGTTAGATTAAGCTTTTATCCAAAGCAACTCAACACTAAGTGGATTCAACCAGGAAGAAACACACCTGAATCCTGCAGGTACTTCAAATACGCTAAACCCTATTCATTTCCAGAGCTCGTTCCATTGATGTGAAACCAGTATTGATGAGGGGAACCAGTATTGATGAGGGGAACCAGTATTGATGAGGGGAACCAGTATTGATGAGGGGAACCAGTATTGATGAGGGGAACCAGTATTGATGAGGGGAACCAGTATTGATGAGGGGAACCAGTATTGATGAGGGGAACCAGTATTGATGAGGGGAACCAGTATTGATGAGGGGAACCAGTATTGATGAGGGGAACCAGTATTGATGAGGGGAACCAGTCCTCCTCATCAATACTGGTTCCCCTCATCAATACTGGTTCCCCTCATCAATACNGGGCAGACGGGCTCGGGGAAGACGTTCACCATGGAGGTACCATCAGACGTTTCCACGGTAACATGTGGAGCCCCTCTTCTTCTTCTTCGGTGGTATTAAACATGTATCTGTGTGTGGTGTGTTCAGGGAGCGTTGGATAACCCGGGCATCAACCAGCGCGCTCTCCGCCTGCTGTTCTCCGAGGTGACGGACAAACTGGACTGGGACTACACCATGCTGACGGAGATCTTGTAGTCCCAGTCCAGTTTGTCCGTCACCTCGGAGAACAGCAGGCGGAGAGCGCGCTGGTTGATGCCCGGGTTATCCAACGCTCCCTGAACACACCACACNAACCTACACACACACACACACACACACGCACATGCACGCACACACACACACACACAACCTGCACACGCACGCACACACACACACACTCACACACACACACTGCACACAGGTAACACACACACACACAACCTCCACACACACACACACACACACACACACACACACACACACACACACACACACACACACACACACACACACACACACAACCTACACACACACACACACACACACACACACACACACACACACACACACACACACACACACACACACACAACCTGCACACACACACACAACCTGCACACACACACACACACACACACACTCACACTCACACACAACCTGCACACAGGTAACCCACAACCTGCACACAGGTAACACACACACACACACACACACACACACACACACACACACACACACACACACACACACACACACACACACACACACACACACACACACACACACACACACACACACACACACACACACACACAGGTAACACAACACAACCTGCAGGGTGTAGAGCTGACGGAGAGCACCGGAACGCAGCTCCAGCCCTTCAGAGATGTCAGTCCCCATAAGGAGCCGTACTCATGCTGCAGTCTCTGCGTGGCTGTGTCTTTAGCTGAAAGCCCGGTGGCGTCTGTTCCTCTCTCACACTGATCAGACAGTCAATAACGCCATCGAAGATAATATGATACAGTGAGTACTTCTGGGTCCGTGTGTGTCACTCGAGCTCGCTAAGCTAAGGATATAAGGAGCTGTTTCTACGGGAAGGAATCTATTTAAATACATTATGTTATTTAAATACATTAAATGAACTATAAAATAAGCTATAAATAAAGTCAAACTAAAATAAAACAACATTTACATCTTTATAAATCTTGAATACAATGAAGTATTGATTAAATACATTTAAAACACACTGACCCTCCTCTCTGACGCTGCAGATGATCTCCGATCACAAACGTCTCAGCGACTTCTTCTCCAGCGACGAGACGGTTTGCACACCGCCCAAGGTTGGCCCCGCCCCCTCCTTGTGACATCTTCAGTGTTGGAGAGCTCCGTCAAACCCAGTAAAGACTCCCAGAGCTCCCAGTAGTTCCACTAAACTCTAGATTAACAGCTGATTAGAGATTTAGGCTTTTTCTGTGGTCCCTGCCCTCCTCCTGATCCTCGTTCACCTGCGGCTAGATTCTCCAGAGTTTGCCCATTGTGTTTATCTCCATTGAAACCCACTGGCTTAGCGTAGTAGCTGCTCTTAGTGTTGGTCATTTGTGGTTTTTAGTCTGGATTTGATCTCAAATGTTTATTTCGTTCAGTCGTCTTTGAATTTCTGAAATTCTAAGATTGCATTTGTCTAATTGATTGTGTGTAACCGAGCTACTTCCAGCCTGGATGAGTAAAAATAAATAAATAATGTAACTACGTTTTTCCAAATGTTTTGCCCAATGTACTGCTTTAGAGAATATTTAACCTCCATGCACTGTTGGAACACTCTGCAGCTTCTGTAGTTGTTACCTTGAGGTTATCACATTGTGCCGGCAACAGTGTGTGTATAAACCCGAGCGTTAGTCTCGTCATACCTGAGAACATAACGAGGCTTAATCAGCCCAAAAAGTGTCTCAGACGAAAGATCAGAAAATAAAAACAAACGTTCCTAAGGTGCGTCCGGTGTGAACAGCTTCAGTTGTCGGTCCTTCTTTAACTGGTGTGTGTGTCTGTGTGTGTGTGTGTGTGTGTGTGTGTGTGTGTGTCCGTCTCTGTGTTCTTCTTCGTTGTTTTGTTTTCACTCTTTCTGGGGTTGATGACAAATGATGTGAGTTGAAAGGGCTGCAACTAAACATTATATTCACTGTCCGATGATCAGTTTCTCAGTTAATCGTTTGTCAAATGTTTCCCTAAAGCCAAAAGACTTCCTCAAAAGTGTGTGTGTGTGTGTGTGTGTGTGTGTGTGTGTGTGTGTGTGTGTGTGTGTGTGTGTGTGTGTGTGTGTGTGTGTGTGTGTGTGTGTGTGTGTGTGTGTGTGTGTGTGTGTGTGTGTGTGTGTGTGTGTGAGAGAGAGAGAGAGTGTGTGGTCTGAAGGAGTTAAATAAAGATATCAAATGTGAGAGAGGGAGAGAGAGAGAGAGAGTCTGTGTGAGAGAGAGAGAGAGAGAGTGTGCGCGCGAGAGAGAGAGAGAGTGTGTGTGTGTGTGTGTGTGTGTGTGTGTGTGTGTGTGTGTGTGTGTGTGTGTGTGTGTGTGTGTGTGTGTGTGTGTGTGTGTGTGTGTGTGTGAGAGACAGAGAGAGAGAGTGTGTGTGTGTGTGTGTGTGTGTGTGTGTGTGTGTGTGTGTGTGTGTGTGTGTGTGTGTGTGTGTGTGTGTGTGTGTGTGTGTGTGTGTGTGTTGCAGGGGTCCGGATGAACCTGCTGAGTCTGCATCCGGCCCTGAGGACCCTCACCTCGGACTACAACTGTCTGAAGAGGCAGGTGCAGGAGTTCCCCTTCATGCTGGAGAAGGCCATCAGCGAGGCCAAGCAGGAGGTGAGAGGGCGGGGGGCGTCACTTCATATTTCAGGAAGTAAAATAAGACCTGTTTGCAGCCATTAACAGTTGCAGCATTTCTCGGATTAAACGTTTTGAGGATGAAGAAGTCCTTTGAGTTGGAGCTTTTACCCTGTGCCCTCAGATCTGTCAGGTGATCAGCGATGTGAGCAGCACCAACGAGCAGCTGCTGCGGAAATACAAGCGAGAAATGAACCTGAGGAAGAAGTGCCACAACGAGCTCGTGCGCCTCAAAGGTCGGACGCTTTAAAACTCAAAGGAAATATTACTTTCTGATTATTATTTGAATGCAAGTGTCAGTATTTGTTTCCAGGTTCAGTTTGCACCTCTGTCCCTTTGCCTTTGTTTACTGTTTCCTATATGTATATTTCACTTTTTATAAAGGGCTTTTTTATATATATATAATACATCCATTTTTCTTTTTCAAAATACGAAAAAAGGCTATTCTGGTCAATTGTCTAATTTCTCGTGAGAATAAATGGGGGTTGCTGTTTTTATTTCTCTGTAAAAATGTCAGACTTCCTGAGTTTGTGTTAACGTTGCCCCGCCCTCCGTCTGCCAGGCAACATCCGGGTGTTCTGCCGCGTGCGCCCGGTCAGCCAGGAGGAGCAGGACTCGGCCGACTCGAAGACGATGCTGAGCTTCGACTCCGAGGACGACGCCGTGCTCTACCTCTGCAACAAGGGCAAGACCATGACCTTCGACCTGGACAAGGTGTTCACCCCGGGCGCCACGCAGGAGGAGGTGAGGACCGGGGTCAAACATCTGAAACGCTCAAGTAAAAAAGAGCTGTAACAACTTTGATAATGGGTTCAATATTGATTTTCAGCGTCTTAGTTTTGGATTTGCTGCTTTTCTACAAAAATTGGAGTCAAAATATTTGGGTTTTAGACATATTTTTCTCATACTTTCCAGATATATTTAATATTATTTGTGGATACATTTTTCATATATTATTTTCATACATATTTTAAGGGATTTTTAACATTTTTCAGACATTTGGGGGATTTTTTTCTTGCAGACGCATCACAAGACGATCAACATATTTTTTTATATTTTTCTGATATTTTTTATACTTTTTTGACATTTCTTTCACATAGTTCTCTGCCCTTTTTATTTATTTAGTTTAACACATTTTTCAATTTTTTTTCCAATTTTTTATCTTACTTCAGAGATTTTTTACCATTAATCTACTAAACAAAAGGTGCTCGACAACAGTTTTGATAATCAACACATCTTCAAAGCAGGCATGCTTTTAAATACCAGTTACCTCTGAAATCATATTAAACAGAATATATATCTGCTCCCTGATTGGTCCTCAGGT